ATGTTTGGCAACACAACCTCAAGACGAGAGACCAAGCCTTCGAAGCCTTCAAGACGTGGCTTCCCATCGCTGAACGAGAATCAGGAACGAAGCTCAAAAGCTTCCAGTCAGACGGCGCACTGGAATACCAGTCACAACGCTTCAGGACCTACTTGGCGGAAAGAGGAATCAGACGCTTGGTGTCTCTGCCCTACGCTCACCAGCAGCAGGGGGTCGCAGAACGAATGAACCGGACCTTGCAGACGATGATGCGAAAGCTGCTCCTGGGGATGAGACTGCCCAACACACTGTGGCCAGACGCGATGACACATGCAGTCCACCTGCACAATCTGTTGTCATCATCATCGATTCCCAACAACGCATTACCGCACCTGCTGTGGACACGAAAAAGGGGCAGCACAAAATTACTTCGGGTTTTCGGCTGCATGGTACAGTACAGACCCCACACAACCCGAGCAAGACGCTTCACTCAACGAGCACGGTGGGGACTACACCTCGGCATCGCCAAACATTTTCACGCATGGAAAATCCTCGACATACAAGACAAAATTACAGTGGCATCACGTAATGTTATCTTCTACGAGCGACTGACGCTGCAGCATTACCTGGACAACATTGCCAACACACACGACCCCACCGACGGCCTCGCGGGCCTTCGTTCCTTCGCCGACCGTGCTGCCGAGGCTGACGCATCAGAAGAAGACGTACCTGGAGCTTCGGAAGCTGCCGGACCACTCCCTTTCTGTTCCGTACCTGTTCCACTTGACGAAGACATTCCTCTCGATAGCAACAACCTCGACACCCTCTACCACTTTGCTGACCAAGGTTACGCTACACCTCACCCGGTCGACACGAATATCTCAGAACGCATCGGCCCCAACTTCTTACCTGATCCAGAAGATGGTGACGAAGCAACCTATTCCGGGAATGAAAATTCCCCTCGACACACGCCCACGGGACTGCCAATCCTCGGCTTATGGGTCTCCGTCCAGCACCCGCCGCCGCCATCTCCGCGCGAGCCAACGACTCTGTCGCAGGCTCTGGGGGGGGAACATAAGGCGAAATGGAAGGAGGCAATGGAAAAGGAACTGAAAGCTTTGCAAGACCGAAATACATGGAAGCTGGTACCTGCAACGAACGTCAACGGGAAGAACGTTCTCTCGGGAAAATGGGTGTACCGCATCAAGACCAATGCAGACGGCTCCATCGAACGATTCAAGGCTCGATTGGTCGTACGAGGATTTGATCAACGATATGGAACTGACTACACAGAAACATTCGCCCCAGTCTCTCGTCACACCTCCTTGCGCATCCACTCGCCGTCGCGACCACAAAGAAACTACCACTGCGCCAGATCGACGTCGCAAATGCCTTCCTGTACGCACCTGTGGACGCCAAAATCTTCGTCGAGCAGCCCCACGGATTCATCGACGACCCCACAAAAGTATGCCAGCTGATAAAATCCCTTTACGGGATCAAGCAAGCCCTGCGGCTCTGGCAGCAGCATCTTCACGGTCGCCTCGTCAGAATCGGATTCCTACAGCAGGCGCATGACCAAGGCATATACCGACTGCAGAAGGGAAGAGAGTATATCTTACTCATCGTTTACGTCGACGACCTGCTCTACATCGGTTCCACTACCGACATCGCCACCTGGTTCGAAGGGGAGCTGAAAGGGGACTTGACACTCACGGTGTCCGACACAGTGACCGAGTATCTGGGTCTGAATGTCGTCGAAGACAACTCGGCGTTCTACCTATACGCTGGAAAGTATGCAGGCGTTGTCGCAAAGAAGTTCGGACTAACACCAACTACAGTCACGACTCCCTACCGCTACGGGAACAACAACGACACCTCCGCAAAACTCCCCGCGAAGCGAATCCGGGAGTATCAGCAGAAGCTCGGCTGCCTACTATTCGCAGCAGTAACCTGCCGACCTGACCTATCCTACAGCGCAAGCCAGCTAACGACGCACCTGAAGCAGCCGGAACAAGAAGTTCTCGAAGAACTAAACCGGGCACTACTCTACTTCGTCTCTACGCCAACGACCGGACTTACCTACAGCAAAGTAACAACATCATCCGTACAACTACTCGGATACGTCGACGCCGACCACGCGGGAGATCGATGATCGATGATCGAGAACGGGCTACATCTACCGACTAGAACCTATCGGGACTATCTCCTGGCAGTCGAGCAAACATGAACTAATCGCACTATATTCGGTTGAAGCAGAATATATCGCCCTCTATACTGCAACCAAGGAAGGGCTCTACCTGCGAGAGTTGCTCGAGGAAGTGAAGATTGTGACCCTGCCCGTCTTCTCACTCCTCTGCGACAACCAATCTGCGATCAAAATCGCGAACAAGGACGGCTTCGCCAACCGAACCAAGCACATTGCCCTGGGTACTTTTTCGTCAAAGATGAAATCACGAAGGGGAGACTTCAACTCAGTTACTGCCCTACAACAGAAATGGCCGCAGACTACCTGACGAAGAAACTGGCGAAGGCAAAGTTCGACTACTGCATGCTGCTGACCGGGCAGACAAACGTCACCGGATCTAAACACGTCAGCACTCCAGAAACGAAGGGGAGTGTTGGAAATATCTCAAAGACTTGAGCGTTTCTGAAGTGTAAACACTACACTCGAGGAAAGTCATAACGGGTACGCGAGTCAACGGAGGTAACACGAAGGGGTGGACAAAGAACACGAATGGACACGAAGAGTCGCGACCGGAGGTTGCGACTGACCGTTACAACTGCAAGGATGGTAACAGAACTGGCAATCGAGTCGCTGTGCGACTCGAGAAACCGCTCCTTAAATTGTATTCTACAACTGCTTTACTTTCCTGCTTTCTATATATTGCTGTATGCTTGTTTCTTTTAATCAATCACTTGTTCTCATATACTAGTACAAGGGTTCAACTACTCAACTTCCGCTGCACTACTCAAGTCTTTTACAACTGGGACTTCGTCTCTGGAAAGATTCCAAGGGCATTTCTCAGCCCAACAACGTGAATTTGTTTTTCCGGGTACGTAACCCTTCTGATGCTAAACGTCGCACCTTGTTTTACCCTTCGCTAGGCTCCGCACGCAACCAATCAAAGCTGATCCCCCCCCCCCCCCCCCCCCTCCCCCCCCCCCCGCGGAAAATGCCCACCCACACCAACCAGCTCCACGTGCTACCAACGCCTGAATGTTCTTCCACCCATCATTTTGACGGTGATCCACTACAGTACTACGACCCGTCGCTACAACGATGCGTGTAGTCCAATAATATTGTATAGAATGACTTACTTGAGATTTGGTAATTTCTAATCTTATATATGATATTCATACATTAAAAATAATTGAATCAAGTATTCTTTATAATGAATTGTTATCACGTGCCATGTGCTTCATCCAATTCATAATACATCTTATAGAGTGATAGGTGTTTTGTTCGATATTGTTTCTGTACATATTCGCTATTGAATAAACCGTTAGTGTTTGTGTGGTGTTTTCGGTGCAGTCCAGCAGGTTGAGTGGTCACATGACATGGCAGGCAGCACGCGGGAAAGGACAGGGCTGAACATGAGGGATAGACTGTTGACGCTGCAGCGCCTGTCGCGAACGTCAACTGCAGAGCATAATGTGACCTCGTTGACAGCGAGAGGACAAGCAAAGCCAATTTCGCCTGTGGGCGATCGTCCAATTTAATCGCTGACGAGAGCGAATTCTGCGACCGCCACTCGCATGGTCCTCTGGCCTGCCCGCTGCGCGCAACGCACGATTGGCCTAAAAATTCCAGCGCAGAATGACCTGAGGGTAAGTCCCCATTTCATCCTCCCTCCCCCCCGCCCTCCATTTGTCATATCACAATTGTGTTTTAATCTCGTCCCTTCATTTCACGCTTCTATTTCTTCGCTGCCGTCGATTCTCATTATCTCCAACCACCTTCATCCTGATTTCCCCTCCACACCACACCTCCTCCTTGTCCTCGTCTTCTATTCCTGCTGCCAGCATCATTATTCCGTATCTCTAGAAGAACCGAGGCGAACAGTGAGGAAGGGACCACGAATCGCAAGGGCAGACCGACCTGCAAGCACACTATTCGTCCTGCCGCAACTGTCATCCTGACCAGACCTGCCAAAGTGCCAAATCTTTGCTTCTTGTTGCGTGCTAAGGCTCCAGTTCTTTAGGGCGGGTCCCAATAGTTCATTTCACGGTACGGGACACGATTTTACGAATCCCGGTACAAATCCCTGAAACGATTCCGTTTCCGTAAATCTTTGTAATTGTGTCCCTGTGCGCACGTGGCGCACAAGCGGGACGCCAATTGTCCAAATGTGAAAAAATTGAGCTGCGCGCAACAGCCCCAAACGCAGTTACCAAATGAAAGCCTGCGCGAAACATAAGTTTCGCACACCGCGCAAAAGACAGCAGGCGCGAAACATAAGTGTGTGTATGTTTTTTAATTTTTTCACGCCTTCTCGACGGACTTCTCGGCGGGGCCTCTTGTTTTCTGGGGCTTCTTGGGCGGGTAGGGGTGGGGAAACCAGAAACTCACCCCATTCTGTCGGCGCAGAGTGGTCCAACTAGTGGCGCGTTCAGTTGCGGATGCGGTATGGCGTCGCGCCCGCAGATGTATTCGCGACGTCGCCCGGTCTTCGCCATCGCCAGCGGGGCGATATCCAGGCGCGACACACTTTGAACCCCGTCCCCGAATCTTGCACCTTCCGGCTTTTTTACGTTTGCAATCCGAAATTTGGTACATGGCCCGACGCATGTGAAAGGTGTCCCAGGTTACGTCAATATTTCAGACGTGTCCTGGCGAAACCTTAAACCAGGTGTCGCTTGTTAAAATCTGGTTACTTTTCACGAAATGAATAGAACGTGAACTATTTGGGACCCGCCCTTACTACAATCTTTGTCAGAACTTTGTGTTCCAATCCAACTGTCTACCATGTACGCTAAGCCTCCGACTATTCTTCCCAACGCGGCCCGGACTCCGGGGACTTCGGAACCAAGCGACTGCTAGTACTGATAGAAGCCTTCATAGAAACCAGCGCCATCGCTGAGTTAGCATTCGATTTTGTTCGATTCTCATTCCACATTCTACAAATATTCAACGCCTGCGACGACGAGTTTTCCCGATCGAACGCGACGCGACGGAGATCCCGAGGCTGACTGAGCGATGGCGGCCGGCGGCGGCGGCGGCGGCGGAGGGGACGGTTTTCAGCATCGCGATCATGATGACGACGACGAGTCTCAGTTCGACCCGCTGCTGCAGCTCATCCAGGCGTCGCGCATGTGGACTAAAGAGGTGCACCTCTTAGCGCGTGTTAAATGTCGCGCATGCGGCGAACCGTGGAGATGAGCTGTTTGTTAAGAATTCTAGAAAAGCAGCTTACCGCATGCGAACCGTGGACATGCGGCAAGGCTTTGAAGAAACCACGTCAAAGTACCCCAAGGCGACAGTGGTGGTAGCGCTTGTAGCAATTGTTTAGAATTCCCAGAAACGAGTCCACTGCAGTAGTAGTGCCGTCTAGGTCGAACGGCGACTCGCCGTGCCGTCAGCCGTCCTTCGGAAGGATAACCCATTCTCCTTCAACGTGCCGCTTTCCCGTGGTGAAGTCGTTAAGTTTTAAGACGTCCCAAAACTAAACTACTTACTAAGTAGTGTGGCGAAGGACAGCCCATTCTCCTTTCAACGTGCTGCCTTTCCGTGCCGTCAGCCGTCCCGCGTCCAACGCCGTTTGCTTGAACAAGCAGTTCTAGAAGGTCTACTAGTACCGCTTGTACGTGGGTGAGGAGTCTATTTTTGAGGCGCCTCTAGAAGTGCTACTAGTACCGCTGATACGTGGACGACACCATCGCCATCGCCATCGCCGTGGCAGTCGACGCCTCGCCTCCTCGTTGCCTCCTGATGAGGAGAGCCGCGGCGGCTCGACTCTAAACCTTCCGATCTGACGAGCACTGACTGAACCCTCTGCAGCGCGCTCGTGCGACCCCCCCCCCCTCCCCCGCCCCCCCAAAGCAGGTGGCACCTACGGATTCGGATTCGGATTGCTACCCTTCGAGACCGACTCCAGTTATAACGCCTCGCTACCCACTGGGTCAAAACGAGGTTACCCAGAGGCGCAGCGGAATGGGTTTACATTCTCTAGGATATTTTCCGTCCGCAGACGTTACACCAGTAGAGACCGACTCCAGTAGAGACCGACTCCAGTAAAGACCGACTCCAGTAGAGGCCAACTCCAGTAGAGGCCGACGCCAGTGGCTTTTAGAAGACGCTACTAGCGCTGTCATCCGCGGATCCGATTCGACTTCGACAGCCTGTCCCCCCGCGCAGAGCAGTGTCCGCGAACGGCGCCCCGCGCAGAGCGGCGTCACCCAGAGCAGCATACTGCATTCTGCTCCTCAGCGGCGCACCCGCCTCCCGCCTACCCGTTTGTATCGTGTAGTACGCTCCCGCCTCCCACGCGCGCCTCATCTTTCCGCCACCTGCCAGCGGTGCACGCGCATTGCGCTGTTAAGTGGAGCAAGGCGTGCGCGCACCGACGCGCCGCAAGGCACCAAGCCCCCCCGCCCGTCCTTGTTTTTTCTCCGCGTCCGATAAGGGGAGTGAGTTATTTCCCCTTCCCCACAAACTCTCGCCCCCCGTTCCGTTCCCCCACTCCCACCCCGCACCCGCCCCCGCCACTCCCAGGAGGTCGCGATTCTCCTCCGCCAGGGCGCTGCGGCGTGCCCCCAGTCACGCGCACGAAGCATTGCTGAGCGGCTGTAGGCCTTACTCAACTCCCACCCCCCCCTTCCCTCCCCCAATTTCCGCGCTTCCGCCTCCATTCCCCGCCCCCCCTTCCCCGCATTCCCCGTCCCCCTCGCCGTTCCCCTCTTCCCCCGCAGGAGGACGCGATTCTGCTGCGCCACGCGCTGCGCCTGCCAGTGGGCACGAAGCAGTGGGGCGAGCTGGAGAAGAGCGACTGTAGGCCTTACTCAACTCCCTTCCCTCCCCCCCCTCCAAACCCCCCCTTTCCGCCTCTTTCTCAGGAGGACGCCATTCTCCTCCGCCACGCGCTGCGGCTGGGCACGAAGCAGTGGGGCGCGCTGGAGAAGAGCGGGCGGCTGCCACTGCGCGACAACAAGGCGTGCTGCAACCGCTTCATTTTCCTCAAAAAGTAAGCTGTCGATCTTTCTGAAGTTACCACCGTCCCGAGTAACCACCTTCACGAGTTACCACCTGTGGCACGAGGAACTGCGGTGTGCTGTAGTGGAGGCAGGTGGGCTGGTGCTGCTGTGCGACAACAAGGCGTGCTGCAACCGATTCATCTTCCTCAAAAAGTGAGCAGCCTGCCACCTTCTCGAGTAGCCACCTGTTGGAATAGGTACTAGGGTGTGCTGCAGCGTAGACAGGTGGGTGCCGCTGCGCGACAATTAGGCGTGCCTATCAGGCAATCGATTCACCTTCCTAAAACTTGAAGTGAGCTGCCGACTATAAATCGCTGCCTATTTCTTGCCCTTCTGGACGTTTTTCTGCCAAGAATGGCACCCTGTACCGCAGCAGAATCTCCTAACAATCCTATCGCCGTTCTTGATGTGCCAAACGATTCGGTACTTGTCTAGCAACATTGTGATCACCCCTCTCTCCCATTTCCTCCTTTTTATTCCTTCATCCCCACCCCTACACCCCCCCCCCTACCCCTTCCCCCCCCTCCCACGTTTCCCCCCGTTCCCCCTGTTCCCCCCGTTCCCCCCGTTCCCCCCGTTCCCCCCGTTTCCCCCGTTTCCCTCTGTTCCCCCCGTTCCCCCCGTTCCCCCCCCGTTTCCCCCGTTTCTCTCTGATCGGCAGGAAATTTGCGGAAATTCACAAGAAGTGGCACCAGTCATCTGTTATCCCTGACCGGAACTTCTGGCCGCTGGAAATGCAGCAGGAGCAAGAGGAGAGGGAGCAGCAGCAGGGCGGGGCAGGAGGCAAGGCCCGCCGGAAAAACAGCCGAGTTACTGGCAGTGGTAGCGGGGAAGGAACGGCCGGCGGGGCAGCAGCACGGCCAGGGAAACGGGCAGGGAAACGGGCAGGGGAAGCCCGCCTTACGAGCTGGGCACCAGGAGGGCGGGCAGCAGAATGAGGGAAGGGAAGAAAGTGGCAAGCGGGCAGGAGCCAATGACGTTCGGACACCTGTCACTGGAGGCGTGCGAGTGGCTGTTTCTGGGGAAGGGGGAGGCGAAGGAGTGGGCGGAGCTTAAGGAAGGGGAGAGTGAGTCAGGAGAGGGGAGGGGAGGACAAGGGGAGGAGAGGGGGAGCGGAGGAGGGGAGGAGGAGACGAGGAAACGGAGGGGGGAGGGAGGGGGGAGAGGTGGGTCGGATAGTGGAACAGGGGAGGGGGGAGGTGGGGAAGGGGTGGGTGGAGGAGGGCTGTCGAGCTCTCTGAAGCAAGAGAGCCGGATATCTGTGGGTTACGGAGGGGATTCCGTGCTGGCAGGGGGAGGGGGGCAGGGAGGTGGGGGAGCAGGAGGGAGAGAAGGAGGGAGGGGAGGCGGTGGGAGAGAGAGCGGGCACGAGGCGAACCCAGAAATGAAAGAGATCTTTAAAGGGTGAGTTGCTGGGAGGGTGAGCTGCTGTTGTGATATTTCATAGAGAAGCAACATGTGGAGCAGCAGGAGTGGGTGCAGTCCCAATCCCCCCTCTCACATCCCCTTCCCATGCCTGCTTCTGTTGCAGGAAGAACCGGATTCTGGGAGAGCTGCTGCTGCGAGATTTCATTGAGAAGCAGCAGGTGGAGCAGCAAGAGTGGGTGCAGCAGCAGCAGCAGCAGCAGCAGCAGCAGCAGCAGCAGCAGCAGCAACAGCAACAACAACAGCAACACCAGTGGCAATTACAGGAGCAGCAGCAAGTGCAGCAGGTTCAATTACAGCTGCAGCTGCAGCAGCAACTGAGGCAGCAACAAGAGGAGCACCAGCAGCAGCAGCAAGAGAATCAGGAGCAAGAGCAGAAAATGCAGGAGAGCTTGCTGCGGCACCAGAAGTTGCTGCTGCTGCAACACGTGCAGCAGCAACAACAACAGCAACAACTGCAGCAGCAGCAGCAGCCAGCAGCAGCAGCAGCAGCAGCAGCAGCAGCAGCAGCAGCAGCAGCAGCAGCAGCAGCAGCAGCAGCAGCAGCAGCAGCAGCAGCAGCAGCAGCAGCAGCAGCAGCAGCAGCAGCAGCAGCAGCAGCAACAGCAAGCGAGGCTGGAAGCAATCGAGAGGCAGCAACGCCAGTTGCTGCTAGAGCAGCAGGTTCGGCTGCAGCAGCAGCTGCTGTTACAAAAGTTACACGGGCAGGCGAATCTTTGGGAGCTAGCACAGCAGGTGCAGGAGGGGCGGGAGGGGCAGCAGGCGCAGCAGGTGCAGGAGGGGCAGCAGGCGCAGCAACAATTGGTGTATTTCCAGCCGCAACCGCCGCAACAGCAAGAGCAACAGCTACAGCAGCAGCAGCAGCAGCAGCAGCAGCAACAGCAGCAGCAGCAACAGCAGCAGCAGCAACAGCAGCAGCAGCTGCTGCAGTGGCAGGAGTTTCAAAGGGTGCAACTACAGCGGCAGCAGCAGCAGCTGGGGCTATTCCTAGAGACTCAACCCGCTCCTTCCCCCCTGCTCCCACCGTTTCCCTCTGCCTCCCTCCTTCCCCTTCCTCCAAAACCTCCTCTTGAGGCGTCTCAAAAAGCGGTTCATTCTCCCCTGCTACCACCGTCACCCTCAACCTCCCTCACTCCCTTAAACCCTGGTCTCCGACCCGACGATTCCTTCAACACAGCAAGTCAACGACCTTCCTGGGGGGTTGGACCCACCCAAGCCCTGCAAGCCGCAGCCACTTATCACACGGATGCAACTGCAAAGACCGTTACGGCTGCCGTTCCCCCCTCTCCTCCCCCTACCCTCCCCCTTTATCATGCCTCTTCCCTTCCACCCTCTCGTCCCAACCCACCCCCTCTCTCTCATCCCTCCCTTGCTCACCGCTCGACCCTACCACCTCTCCAGCTGCAGACACAGGTCGCAGTCTCAACGCCCCTCAACCCAACCAAGCCCGGGCCTGAAACCGAACGTGCTACCGCTGAACCTGCTTCGGCCGAACCTGGCTTTTCGAACCTCTTGTTCTCCCTCCCAGGGCCAGCTCACCTAAACCCTTCCCTGCTACCAGCGGCACCTCGTGCTGCTGCGGAACTTGCTCCTGCTCCTGCTGCTGCTGCTGCTGCTGCTGTCTCCGAGTCTGCCACCTTCACCTCGCCCTTTGCTTCCGCTTACCTATCGTCCCTCCCTCCTTCATTCGCCTCCACCCCGTCTGTAACTGCAGCAATTCCTGGGGCTGGCCTATCCCCTACCCTATCTGCTCCTGGTGCTGGTGGAATTGCTGCCAGTTACATGCCTGCTTCTGGTGCTGCTGCTGCTGCTGCTGGTGCCAGCGCTGCTGCTGCTGGTGTTGCTGCTGCTGGTGTTGCTGCTAGTCAAGCGTGGACTGCCAGCCCTGCTGTTGGTGCTCTTCCTACGAGTGTTGACAGTGCTGCTGCGGCGTGTCCTCAGCAGCAGGAGCAGCAGCAGCAGCAGCAGCAGCAGCAACAGTGGCGGGATGACTTTCAGTCTCAATTGGGCCGGCTACAGGAAAAGAAACAACTGCTGCAGCTGCAGCTACAGCAGCAGCAACAGCAGCAGCAGCAGAACCTACTTCTACCACAACAGCAACAACTGCAAAACCAGCAGCTACAGAGCCAGCAGCAATGGAAGCACCAGCACCAGGAGCAGCAGCAGCAGCAGCAGCAGCAGCAGCAGCAGCATCAGCAACTGCAAAGCCAGATGCCACAGCAGCAGCAGGGGCTGCGGCAGCAGCAGCAGCAGCTGCTGCAGCCAATGCAGTCTTACGAGCCACCCCATTTGTTCACCAGGCCCGGCACAACCGCCAGTCCGGCAGGAGCGGTAAGTGCAAACCTGCTGCAGGATCGGAACAGCGGCAGCTGTGGCAGCCGCTGCAGCAGCAGCGGAAGCGACTTGATCGCTGCCCCTCAACCGGAGGCAGGCGCTGCTCCTGCAGCTACAGTACTGGCTGCCCCGTTAGTAGCTGCCCCGTTAGTGGCTACTCCAGTAGCAACTCCTGTGTATGCTACAGTACCAGGAGCAGCAACTGCTTCGTTTTCGGCTGCTGGACCGTCAGACTCACTAGCAGTAGCAGTGACTGCCGTGGCAGTGCCGCCCAGTTACATGCCGGTATTTGGTGCTGGCAGAGCGGCGGTGTTTCTGGGGAGCTTCGAGAGCAGCACAGGTGCGGGAGGGACGCCTGCAGTTCCTGGTGACGTGCAGCACATGCTGCTTCTGGAGCAGCAGCAGCAGCAACAACACCATGGGCGATTACTGCAGCAGCAGCCACAGCACCATCTTCAGCAGCAGCAGCAGCAGCAGCAGCAGCAGCAGCAGCAGCAGCAGCAGCAGGAGAGCGACCACAAGCAGCGGCGACAGGTTGACTCTGAGGTGCTGCAAGGGGAGCAGTGGTTGTGGTGGGGAGACCAACGGCGAGCTTGAGCTAAGATGAAAACTCATGGCTAGCATTGGATGGCATGTGAATGTTGCCCCCATGGTAATAAATCTGACCTCAAGTTGGAAGTAGGATAGGAATACAAACAGCACATGTCGTTTGATGTGAGCTGGTCACTGAGAAGACTAGCTGTGGGTTTTAGGTAGGTTGTGATTGATTGCATCCAAGTTGTATCAATGTTGTCCCTATTTGCTTCGTCGTGTGCATGCTCCCTTGTGTCATTGAAACGCAATCAAATCATATCTTCCGAACGTTGACACTACAAATGCAGCTGACATACATGGTTTCGTTTCCTTACAGAGGTCGCCCTGGTGCGAACCATTGCAATTGAAACCCTCACGAACGGGGCTCCTATCTCATCAGACCTGGGATGTTCCACCACCATTGACCGGTGAATCATACAGGGCAATATTGTCATCCAACACTGCTCTCCTGGGAACCTCCGATCGAACCACATCGCGAGGGAGATGACCTGCCGGCAGCAGCAGATGAAAATGAAAGGAAGGGGAATCAGGATACAGATTGGTGCAGAGACAATACTGGTAAAAAGGTTGTACAGTGCCGGCCAATGTCAATGCATGGGATGGGACGAACGAGGTGCATGTGGCAACGTACAGTAGTCATGGCGCAGAGATGGGTAGTGTATGAAGAAGCATATAGTGGCGAAACTGATTCCTGCGTGCCAAGAAACAGCAACCAAGGGGGGGGTAAAGCAAGAAACAGTAACACAGTTGAAAGGTGGAGGGGGGTATCATAAGACTGTAAGACTTCAAGCATTGGCAGCGAAGTGGTCGGGTTTTATTAATGCCCAGATCCCATATTAGTTCACACAAGTCAACGGACAGAATTTGGGGTGGGCGGATGGAAAAAAAAATTGTGTTATTGGGTGCGAAACAATGTAATTCTGTTACTTCGCGCAGGATTTCGTATGCAAGCTGGGCCCAGTTTGGTTTGGGATGAGTTCAAGTTGGGCCAAACCCGGATCTGACGGCTGAGACCCAGGGACACATGAAGTGCCAATTTGTAAGCAGAGTTACAGCCGTTGATTGGAAACCTAGCGAGAGCAGGGTTTGATGGGAGTTGGGTTTGGCAAGCCCGATCCAACGGCAGAAACTGCACGAATCAAACTGGGCCCAGTTTGCAAACTTGATTTCCACCGTAGATATATCAGCCTCGTTTTTGCCCCTCACTTTGGCGAAGGGGTAGCTGCCTTTCTTTTTCTGTTGGGTAGTTCGCGAGCGCGGTCAGCATCAAACTGGGCCCATTTTGATGCCAGCCTGACTAATTTGGGATCTGGGCTTTAGGTCTCGCAAGATCTCCGAGGGGTGATTGCGACACCATTATGAAAGAGGCACCAAGATGAAAAAGGCACCAAAAAAAGGCAACAACTGCAGTGCCGCGGGCAGGCATGTATGAACAGAGAGCAACAATGAAGGTGCCACTTATGATAATCGTTGCAAGTACCAAGCGCAATCAGAAGATGGACACACACAAAACGTTACGCACCGAGTAGACTCCCCACGAAGACATCGAAGGGGAAGTGCCAGTAGTCATCAATGCGCGTGATTCCAATGGCCACTCCTCCCGCCAAGGGCAGAGCCGGGGGCAGCAGGCGCCAGAGCTGGGAGGAGGAGGAGGAGAGCGAATGGAGCTTGGCCGCTAGGAAGAGGGAGAGATATGCCAGGCCTGAGAAGGACACTGGGTAGAAAGAGGGGGGGAGGGGGGGGGGGTTGGGAGTGGTGAATGGGAGGGGGCGGGGAGAGGCGGCAGCTCAAGCTAAAAAGGAGAGGGAGTACAGCTTGGCCGCTAGGAAGAGGGAGAGATAGGCCAGGCCTGAGAAGGACACTGGGCATGAAGGGGGGGAAGGGAAGAGGGGGGAGTGGGTGCAGTGAATGGGATGGGATGGGATGGGGAGCAGGAGGACTCTCGAAACAGAAACAGAGGGAAAAATGGGAAACAGCAGTAGAAACAGAAACAGAATTCGGGATAGAAACGGGAACAGAAGCAGAGACAGGAAACAGATAAGAGATACAGGAGGACCGCGGGGTGCAGTACAGGACTCACTGGACGCATGCCCGCTTGGGAAGCTCTTTCTTCCTTCGTTGATGACGGATGGGTCGCCGTTGCACAGTGCATTGCCGTTACTGCTGTACACCTGAAGGGGCGGAGAGGGTCGAGGAGGGCAGGCAACGGAGAAAAGTGAAGGCGCTAGGAGCCTGATTGTCTGACAGGGGGTGGTGGCCTGTATGATGTGATCTGAGGGGATATGCTGACCATGATGAGTGAGATGGGAGGGTTGGCCAAGGGAAAACTAATACGGGGGCACGCGCGCCCCAGCTGTTGGCTCACCGGGACTCAGAAGGGGAAGCTTTGGATGAAAAAAACTGGTCTTTGAGCAGCTTAAAGCGAGAGGAAGGTGGTGGGTGGGACGAACACCCGGCAGTCAACTCACAGAGACTCCCGAGGGGAAGCATCGGATGAAAAAGCCGGGTCTTTGAGCGCCTAAAAGCGAGAGAAAGGACGAACACCTGACAGTCAACTCACAGGGACTCCCGAGGGGAAACATCGGATGAAGAAGTCGGGGCGGGGCCGGCCAACGGAGATCTTCAGGGCATCGGTGACGAGAAAGGTGGTGAAGAAGGCGAAGAGCAGCCCTTGGGGACAGACGAGGGGGGGCAGAGGGGGGCAATAGGAGAGCAAGAGGAGGAGTAGAGGAGGCGATGCTATTTGAGGCGCCAAAGGCACGACCTTGAAAGCATCAGTAGCGAGAAAGGTGGAGAGCAGCCCTGGCGGATGAGGGGGAGCAGAGGAGGGAAAGAGGAAGGAATTTTCCAGGTGGACGCCAATAACGTCCTGATGGATGTGAATAACGTCAATGCCCTGATGGATGTGAATAATGTCAAGGTCCTGATGGATGTGAATAATGTCAAGTCAATGCCCTGATGGATGTGAATAATGTCCTGATGGATGTGAATAATGTCCTGATGGATGTGAATGATGTCCTGATGGATGCGAATAATGTCCTGATGGATACGAATAATGTCCTGACGGACGCGAATAATGTCCTGATGGATGTGAATAATGTCCTGATGGATGTGAATAATGTCCTGATGGATGTGAATAATGTCCTGATGAATGTGAATAATGTCCTGATGGATGTGAATAATGTCCTGATGATTGTGAATAATGTACTGATGGACGTGAATAGTGTCCTGATGAATGTGAATAATGTCCTGATGGATGTGAAAAATGTCCTGATGAAAGTGAAAAATGTCCTGATGAATGTGAATAATGTCCTGATGGATGTGAATAATGTCCTGATGGATGGGAATAATGTCCTGATGGATGTGAAGAACGTCCTGATGGATGTGAATAATGTCCTGATGGATGTGAATAATGTCCTGATGGATGTGAAGAACGTCCTGATGGATGTGAATAATGTCCTGATGGATGTGAATAATGTCCTGGTGGACGCGAATAATGTCCTGATGGATGCGAATAATGTCCTCATGGATGTGAATAATGTCCTGATGGATGTGAATAATATCCTGATGGATGTGAATAATGGAATAATGTTCTGATGGATGTGAATAATGTCCTGATGGATGTAAGTAATGGAAAAATGTCCTGGTGGATGTGAATAACGTCCTGATAGATGTGAATAATGTCCGGATGGACGCGAATAATGTCCTGATAGATGTGAATAATGTCCTCATGGACGCGAATAATGTCCTGATGGATGTGAACAAATGTCCTGATGGATGTGAAATATGTCCTGATGGTTTTGAATAACGCCCTGAAGGATATGAATAATGTCCTGATGGATGTCAGTAATCCCCACCCAAGGGATGCCAAAAATGGCCGGATGGATGTCTATTAGGTGGCTGAAAGGTGGCTGATACGAGACGACAGGCAGAGGCACCGGCAGACAGGCAGAGCGCTCTCTGCGGCTACCATGGAAGCCAGGAGATGGCAGGCTGCACGCAACTGTTTTTTACCTAGCATGGAGTGGTGGATGTCTACCAGGTCCCTCCGAATGATGTAATTGACGACAAAGGCGATGGCAGCAGGGGCCAGAGCAATGACCTGATGGATGGAGATACAGAGGGGGATGACAGGGATGAAGAGACAGGGATGGAGATACAGAGATGGAGATACAGGGGGGGATGACAGGGTTGAAGAGACAGGGATGGAGATACAGAGATGGAGATACAGGGGGGGATGACAGGGTTGAAGAGACAGGGATGGAGATACAGAGATGGAGATACAGGGGGGGATGACAGGGTTGAAGAGACAGGGATGGAGATACAGAGATGGAGATACAGGGATGGAGATGACAGGCCAGATGTTATAGCTTGTCATCTAGCATGGAATGGTGGATGTCTACCAGGCCCCTCCAAATGGTGTGATCGAGGACAAAGGCGATGGCAGCAAGAGCCATAGCAAAGACCTAGGATCAGGGGGAACCAGGACCAGCAATGACCTGGAGATACAGGGGTGGAGATGAGAATGATAGCAACCGTAAAATCATAGGGGCTCATACGGGGGCTTGATGTAAAACACATACTGCTGCTGCACTGGAACTTGATGAAAGCTGGGACTAACTAATCAACGCAGAACCAGCATTTCTTACCGGGACTGCCCATGACGGGACCGAGTTGTCCACTAACGGGTACATCAGCCCTTCCATATCCTCGGAATCCACGAACCGCTGAAACGGCTCGATAAAATTGACGGAGATAGCGGCGGCGACGATAACCAGCAGAGCAGCCCAGTCGGCAAAATGTTTAAGAAAGATGGCCTGAAGTGACCCCCGCCGCCTTGCGGGTTGACCGTTCGTCGCCACGTCAGACATGCTTGCTCAGGCGTGCGTGCAATATATTATGTGAAATTCGTGTAAACTGTCGTGTGCGTCACGTGCGTTTGCACCGCCTTGCGATGAAATTCCCGTCAACTTTCGCTAACTGATGTTTCTAACCTGACGGAGGCAAGACGCCGAACGGAGACAACGGGGAGTTACAAAAAGTACAACGAGAAACATTCTAAGAGGAGGGAAGGCCACGCGCCTGCCTATACTATGTCCAAGCTGGAGCTCCCTAAGTCCATAGCAGCTGAGCTATCCATCCATGCGGAGTCGTCAAGCAAAATCTGCAAGGAGGATGAAGAGGTGAGGATTCGGCGGTCCATGATGAGTCAGAACCTCCTAGGTTAGGATTCGGCGTGTCCTAGCGAACCGTTTCACGGAGTGATTTGATCCTTCCGAAACGCAATCCACCTCACTCAATCGTATTCGGACGTACGCTTGGGACACGCCCTAAGCGCGTGTCCTAAGCGTACACCCGAGTGCGGTCGAGTAAGGTTTCTTGCGTTTCCGAAAGTTCGAATAGCTTGTTAAGACGGTTCGGTAGGGTATTGGTTGAAAGCGAATGCTTAGGACACACACGCCCTAAGGGCGTGTCTCGGGCGTAAGAAAACCTATGACCCCCGAAGGGCAGCCATAAGCGAAACAAGGAGAGCTCACGATGAAACCAAGGACGCTTGCGAAAGTTACAAACAATCGCGAAGTCGTCGTTCTCGATTTGAGCGTTGCTGATTAGCTAGGTTCTGATTCACGTGACTTGGCGAAAGCGCGCTTTGTCACCGTCCACGCCTCCCTGGCAAGAGCTTGCATCGCAAGCTGGGAACTCGCTACCGTAACACCCGTCACATGGTGTGACTACTGCGCATTTCCACAACCCACGTACACGCAGAGTAGCTCCCAGATGAAAAATATGAGATTTTGATGCCTCCTAGTGCATTATAACTGAACATCTACACATAAGCTCAATACTCGGCCTTCTAAACGTGCCATACATTCAACCATATTGAATACTTCGGAATCCGCCTATTCTCTATACACCGCCAGATTCGGTCGGCCGGGGTTCTGTGCTAGCCCGTTTACCACCACAACAGGAGAGCTGGCAAGATTGCGCATCTGGGCCAAGCGACAAGAGGGGAATATCGCCTGCAGATATGACCAAGGGTAGGGGAATCGAGAAAAAAGAGGGACCCAAGTAGGAGATGGCAAATTATGGATTTGTCATAGGGGATTGGCATCAGTGTTTGACGACAAGGAGAATAGTGCAGGCTGTGATAAGAGTTGAGGATCAACAGTGCTGGTTTGCCAACAATGTTTAACAAGATTTACCGGATTTTCCTACATGGGTGTGGGACGTACAGTGCTGGTTGGACAGTGAAGGAAAGTGCAGGAAGTAGCAAACGGTTGCAATTGTCATGCCTGCGATGGGAAGGAGAGATGAAGGAAAGGTGCAACCAGGCACGGGGGCAGAGAAGGAAATTGCTGTGGCTTCTCCAACTTGTCACATCTAAGCCGGCCCAAAGGACCAATCAACCACCCCATAAACATGTCGAACGGAAAGCGCCAGTAGTCATGCCAGCAAGAGAACACCTATCAATCCACTGATAAACGCACGTCTAAGGGGAAGCACCAGCAGTCATACCAGCAGTGGTGACTAAAAGAACAGAAGCTACTAACTCGCTTACCAATCCCCCCCAAACACCCAGACCCGGGCGGGCCCGCGCTTACCGATAACGCTTTCAGTGAACAAACACATCGACCAGCAAGCACCAGTAGTCACGCCAGTAGTGGTGACGAAAGGAAGAGCACCAATGGGCGCAGTTACCAATCGACCCGCCCATGAACACGTCCAAGGGGAAGTGCCAGTAGTGGTCGACTCGAGTGATGGCAACCGAAGCAGCGCCAGCCAGGCAGCATGCAGACGGCAGTACCCACCACAGCTGCCCCTTCCCTCCCAGACTCAACCATCACCCGCTTACCAATCAACCCGCCCATGAACACGTCGAAGGGGAAGTGCCAGTAGTCAACTACTCGAGTGATGGCGACAGAGGTGGCCCCAGCCAGGCAGAACGCAGACGGCACTATCCGCCACAGCTGCCCTCTTACTCTCGCACTGAAAGCTTGCAGTTTCGCTGCTGCAAAGAGAGCGAGGTAGGTCAGGCCCGCGAAAGACACTGTAAGATGGAGAGAGGGGCGGGAGGAAGGAGGGAAGGCAGATGGGAAGCTGTGGGAAAGGTGGGTGCATGGGTCAAGGCAGGGACTATTCAGCAGCCACCTGGACTATATCCGCCGCTGCTGCCCATTATCTCTCGCACGGAATGAGGCGGCGGGAGGGAGGACGCGGAGGGAAGGTGGGTGCATGGGTCACAGGGGGGGATGATTCAATTGCCACCTGGACTATCCTCCGCCACAGCTGCCCATTCCCTCTCATCAGGTTTTGAAGTTATGCTTTTGAGTCGACTCAAAAGCAGCTGCCCATTCCCTCTCGTCAGGTTTTGTAGTTATGCTTTTGAGTCGACTCAAAAGCAGCTGCCCATTCCCTCTCGTCAGGTTTTGTAGTTATGCTTTTGAGTCGACTCAAAAGCAGCTGCCCATTCCCTCTCGTCAGGTTTTGAAGTTATGCTTTTGAGTCGACTCAAAAGCAGCTGCCCATTCCCTCTCGTCAGGTTTTGTAGTTATGCTTTTGAGTCGACTCAAAAGCAGCTGCCCATTCCCTCTCGTCAGGTTTTGTAGTTATGCTTTTGAGTCGACTCAAAAGCAGCTGCCCATTCCCTCTCGTCAGGTTTTGAAGTTATGCTTTTGAGTCGACTCAAAAGCAGCTGCCCATTCCCTCTCGTCAGGTTTTGTAGTTATGCTTTTGAGTCGACTCAAAAGCAGCTGCCCATTCCCTCTCGTCAGGTTTTGAAGTTATGCTTTTGAGTCGACTCAAAAGCAGCTGCCCATTCCCTCTCGTCAGGATTTGAAGTTATGCTTTTGAGTCGACTCAAAAGCAGCTGCCCATTCCCTCTCGTCAGGTTTTGAAGTTATGCTTTTGAGTCGACTCAAAAGCAGCTGCCCATTCCCTCTCGTCAGGTTTTGTAGTTATGCTGAGGCGAAGAGTGTGCGGTAGGTCCGACCCACTTGTTTTGAGGCGCCTCAAAATCCGCGTGATAGGAGTCTAGCTTTGAGGCGCCTCAAAACCAGGTTTTGTAGTTATGCTGAGGCGAAGAGCGTGCGGTAGGTCAGACCCACAAAGTAACACTAAAAAAGGAGGGGCGGGCGACTGCACGGGAAGAAGAAGGGTGATGAGGGGGAGAAGTGAAGTCCATCCGTATTTTGGGGCGCATTGGAAATGGTGGAGAAATTGAGGGGGGTTGAGGCTGGGATGAACAGTTGTGATGTTATGGTGGAGAGTTGTGAATTTATAATGCAGAGTTGTGAGGCCATCACGCAGAGTGTGGGTCTAAGACGCAGAGTGTGGGCCCATGATGCAGAGTGTGGGCCCATGATGCAGAGTGTGGGCCCATGATGCAGAGTGTGGGCCCATGATGCAGAGTGTGGGCCCATGATGCAGAGTGTTCGCTGGTGTGAATCGTACTGGAGGTGTGGCCGCTGGGGAAGCTGAGTCTCGACTCCATCACTTTGGACGAATCGCCGTTGCAGAGTGCATTGCCATTGCTGCCATACACCTGGCATGGGAGGAGAGGAATGGGCGACAAGGAGAGTCCATGGAGGGGAAAGGGCGACAAGGAGAGGAATGGGAGACAAGGAGTGAGACCATGGTGAGATAAGTAGGAGGCTGAGTCCCGACTCTACCACTTTGGATCAATCACCATTGCACAGAGCATGCCATTGTTGCGGTACACCTGGCATGGGACGAGGGGCATGGGAGAGGCGAAGTTGGAACAGTGAGGCATAATGTCCCTGTGACTTTTGAGTCGACTCAAAATCAAGTCGAAGTTGGAACAGTGAGGCCTAATGTCCCTGTGTGGTCAGAAATGCTCGAGTGACTCACAGGATCCGAGAGTGAGCTTCGGAGCTTATTTATCAGTTCCGAGGAAAATGCTGGTGTGTGCATTAGTATACCGAGAGAACTCAGTACACCGAGAACTCAGTACACCGAGAACTCAGTACACCGAGAACTCAGTACACCGAGAACTCAGTACTCCGCATTGTCTCACTGGAGCGCCAAAGGAAAGACTCGCTTAACGTTGAACTTCTGAGTCGACTCAAAAGTCAGCGTTGACTCACGGGAGCGCCAAAGAAACACATTGACATGCCAATGCCATTGCCAATCTCCTTACCAGTAAAGACTCTTTTAGAGATCGTGACGAGACAGGTGGACCGCGTAGGCGCAAGTGAATGCCTGCTTTCCAACGAACCCCCCCCTGACCTACCGCCGATTCTCGTAGAAACACCCCTTGACTCACGGAACGCCCAAGGGGAGGCAAACGACGAGGAAGTGCGGTGGCAGCCGGCTGATCGAGACCCAAAGAGAGCTCGTGACATCAAAAGTGGGACGCACATGCAATGCCCCGACCCAGCTCACCGGAACGCCCGAGGGGAAGCAAACGATGAAGAAGTGCGGGCGCGGCCGGCTGATAGAGACTATGTGGTAGCGTTTGTGACATCAAAAGTGGATGCACATGCAAACATCCCGACCCGGCTCACCGGAACCCCCGACGGGAAGCAAACGATGAAGAAGTGCGGGCGCGGCCGGCTGATAGAGACTATCTGGTAGCGTTTGTGACGTCAAAAGTGGATGCACATGCAAACATCCCGACCCGGCTCACTGGAACGCCCGAGGGGAGGCAAACGATGAAGAAGTGTGGGCGCGGCCAGCTGATAGAGACTATGTGGTAGCGTTTGTGACGTCAAAAGTGGATGCACATGCAAACATCCCGACCCGGCTCACCGGAACGCCCGAGGGGAAGCAAACGATGAAGAAGTGCGGGCGCGGCCGGCCAATAGAGACCTTCACGGCGTTGGTGACGAGAAAGGTGGAGGCGCCCGCGAAAACGAAGCCTGGGGTGGGGAAGGCGGAAAAGGGGGGGGGGGGGGGGGGGGTTGAGGAGGGGGGAGGGAGTGGGGGAGGGGGAAGATGGGAGCCATGGAAGAGGGGGAAGGCGGAGCCACCAGCGGGGACGAAACCTGCGGTGATTTATGGCCAGCGACTTCAGGAACCGGGGTGGGAACGAGGGGGAATAAGGCTGTGCGAATCGAGTTCGGTTTTGAGGCTCTTAGCGAATGGGCCTTGGCGCAGCGGAACGAGGGCAACACTCCTCTGAGGTCTTTCTCTGGAAGCCATCAACTCTGAGGAGTCTATTTTCGAGGCGCCATCAACTCTGAGGAGTCTATTTTCGAGGCGCCATCAACTCTGAGGAGTCTATTTTCGAGGCGCCATCAACTCTGAGGAGTCTATTTTCGAGGCGCCATCAACTCTGAGGAGTCCATTTTCGAGGCGCCATCCACTCTGAGGAGTCCATTTTCGAGGCGCCATCCACTCTGACTCCCAACGCACCGAGGAGCGAGCTGCGGAAGTCGAGCTCAATTTTGAGGCCTTGGAGCCTCAAATCCGGGCATTGGCGCAGCGGAACGAGGGCAACACTCCTCTGATGTCTTTCTCTAGAAGCCATCGAGTCGACTCACGACGTACCGAGGAGCGAGCTGACGCGTTGGAGTCTCGAATTCGGGTCTTGGCGGAGTGAAATGAGGAGAATCGTTCAAAAACTCTCTGGAATTTATCGATTCGACTCCCAACGTACCGAGGAGCGAGCTGTGGAAATCGACGAAGTCTCGCCGCACGATCAAGAAAACAGCGAACACCAGCAATGGAAGCCCGATAGCGTACACCTGAAGGGGGAAAGAGAGGATGTTTCAAAGGGGCTTCGCAGGAAAGATACTACCTGACAGCGAGGCGCAGGGACTACCTGAGAGCGAGGCGCAGGTACTACCTGACAGCGAGGCGCAGGTACTACCTGACAGCGAGGCGCAGGTACTACCTGAGAGCAGCAGAGCAGATTTCGTTATCATCGACAGAGTCGCCGCTACGAGCACAACGATCGGAGTTTCTTAGTTTCATAAAACCGAGTGATTCCCTCGGAGATATCGAAAAGGGCACTCACCGGTACGGCCCAAAACGGTACCGAGTCGGGCTTTAACGGGTACATGTACTTCTGCATGTAATCGGCGTTAACGAATTGCTGGAAGGGGTGGATGGCATCGACGGCGATGGCCCCTCCCACCAGGAACAGAAACACGACCCAGTCCAGAATGTGCGGACGGAAAACGTCCCACATTCTGACAGGCTTGGGTGCGGGGTTGACGGACGTTTGAGACGGCCGATCGCTGGTTTCAGCCTCGTAGCCGGCCATTATGGCGTGTTCGAGGAGCGTCACTTGTTAGTGCGGGACGAGCGCGAGGTAAACGAGGGGTTGGTTTCCTGGGATGGGTCAGCTCTGGGAACTCAGAGAAGATAATATTAAAAAAGAGAACAAATGTCCGGAAAGGAAGCGGAAACGGAGGAAACCCGACTAAGAGGTTGGCAAACAACAACGCCTTTAGTAACGCCCTGGTGAGAGAGCACTCGAGCAGCGTCCTAGTGAAAACTCTAGCCTGGACCACGGGGGTCGGGAGAGGGTCCCTGGGAGTTGGGAACAGGTTTTGTGTTGCGCCGTAGAGTTTTGTGGCAGACGGACAGACGAATGCGGAAAAGGCGGACGGATGGATGACCCTAGAGTGTGCCGTGCCGTGCCGTGCCGAGCCCAGACCACTGAGCCCACTGCCCCGGCGCGCTGGTGGTGGTGGCTCCCGCGGGGTGTCCTCCGCCCTAGTCGGTGGCTGGGGTGATTTGACTCTCCGCTGGTTTGGCGCACTTTCCGCGGCCCTGGGATTTCCCTCTGCCCAGTTGGGAGCATCCTGAAGGCATGTATCCTAGGGTTGCACATCTGTGGGTTGCGCTTCCAGTTGCACAACCCACGAATCCTGACCCTGTAACGCAACTGGAACATGGGTTTGCGCAACTCAGCGCAAGCCCCAAACGCACCTGGAACATTGGGCTGTGGAAGTTTCAAAATTCAAAATTTATAACATTGGGCGAAATCAGAAACAGGGTTACGTTTTGTTCGATTCGCAGATGTTGGGACAAATCCCGCCTTGGCGATGAGCCCCCTTGGCGAAATGCTGGGTTCGTGGTACGCTGGGCGAAAAGTCCCTCGGACGTAGGGTTGGATTTCTCGACCAAGTTGTTGTCCGTTTGATTCGCGCGGACATGGGTTTCGGTTTGGGTTGCGGAAGTGGGTTTCGGAGCCAGGCTGGACGTGGCTTGTGCAACCCACGTCCAGCTTTCGCAAAAATGCTTTCGCGACAATTGCGACAGCTGTTACCATGCCGAGTTGCGCAACCCAAATCGAATCCCCAACCGTATGCTCCACGCCCTGAATTTCCGTCTTGCTGGCGAGGCTCCTCAACACACCGAATCGCCTGAAGTTGCGGCGTGCACGCTTATTGGCGTCCCGTGAAGTGATAAAATACGTGGTGAGCACTGCGCAGCTGTAATGAAGCGCTAAGAGCTTGTGTAGAAGTATTGATTAACGAGGGAATACACGAAGTTGTTTGTGCACTCGAGGGCCTAGTCTAGCGGATTTGCGCGGCGTTTTGAGCGAGTCTAGCTGCTCTTGTCTAGCGAGGCTAGACTGAGCGGAGCACAGCTGCAAGCTTGCGCCGAGTACGACAGATCCGCCCGCCCCAGAATTTGCGCACGGGCTGCCCGTAGTGCCAAGCCTGTCCGAGGCTCAGGCTCGAAACGAAAGCGGTGTAGTTGGCGAGGCTCAGGTACGAAAGCGGTTTAGTTGGCGAAACGAGGGCCTTCACCAACTTAAAGCCCCCATCTCATAATTACAAAGGTTTAACACTAGGAAGCGAACTGTTGCATCGGGATTGGAGGGCGAGGTACGAACACGAAAGGGTGTGACGAGAAAATTTGGCGACAAAGATTTGTTCGCCAAATCAACCCAAACCTGAACCCGAACCAGGGGAGCACCTCGAACGTGCCCACCAGATCCCAAACCTATCATGCGACAACACTGAACCACGAGCCAATTCCAAAACCACGCCAGCGCCCAACCCCTGCTCTCACCTTACCCATAATACCGCACTTCCCAGCAACCAGCCCCACGGGCCATCAGCAGTCCCACACCACTTGGTGCTGTGACCTGATTAGGTGCAGGGCGGTCAGACTGGCCGTCGCCTGGCACACCACCCCCAGCTCGCCCCACGGGAACCGAGCAACCGCCCTAGACGGCTGTGCTCAAGGCGGACCACGTACTAAGAGGTACGTCGGTAAGGAAACACGCACCACTGCCAGACTCAGTTTCGTGGACGAGGGAATTAGAGCTCCTCAGGTAGACCGCGACAGAAACTCATTACCGCCATTGAAACGCCCCGCCGCCATTGGAATGCGCGCCGGATGCGCGATGCCATTAAAACACGTGCCTGATGCACGAGGTTGCAGCATGGTCATGATACTATCCTCGCCACGAACCCTGCATCCGAACGCCGGGACACCGACTGTGCGGGCGGGATGTGAATGGCCTCTCACGCGACCGCCAATGTTCTATTCTGGTCACGCTGGCCGCGATAAGGGCGCGAGATCCACAAAAAATCCGGCCTGCCGTAGACGTCGACGGACGCACAGAACCGCCGTGATCTATCCCGCGAGCCGCGCCACACCTACCACGTCACGCCTCACTGCCCGCGTCAGAGACGCGAGCAGTTGCAGCGGGTGAGGCAGTCCGACCGTGCGCGCGACAAGGAGAGCTGTCAGGATCTTACGCGCCGGGAAGGTAGGGAAGGGGAAGGGAGAGGAAGGGCGACATTTTGGAATAGATGGAGCGGGAAGGGGGGGAGCGACGAGCGAGAGGGGCATTGAGGGGAGAGACGGGGAGCGAGGGGAGGGAGAAGGGGAGAATGACGGAAAGAGGGCGGGAGAGGGGCGGATAGGGGGGGCGACAGGGAAATCGGGCGAACGATGGGGACAGGGCGATGGAGAGCGGGAGAGAGTGGGCAGAAGCGGGGGAGAGGGTGAGAAGGGAAGGGATTTAGGGTGGGAGAGACGGAGAAAGGAACGGAGACGAGAGAGGCGGGGAGGAGACGCAGAGAGAGGGAGCAGCAGAAGGTGACAGAGGGATTAGGCGGATGGTGAGAGAGGGAGTAAGCTGATGGTGAGAGAGGGAGTAAGCTGATGGTGAGAGAGGGAGTAAGCTGATGGTGAGAGAGGGAGTAAGCTGATGGTGAGAGAGGGAGTAAGCTGATGGTGAGAGAGGGAGTAAGCTGATGGTGAGAGAGGGAGTAAGCTGATGGTGAGAGAGGGAGTAAGCTGATGGTGAGAGAGGGAGTAAGCTGATGGTGAGAGAGGGAGTAAGCTGATGGTGAGAGAGGGAGTAGGCTGATGGTGAGAGAGGGAGAAGGCTGATGGTGAGAGAGGGAGAAGGCTGATGGTGAGAGAGGCCGATGGTGAGAGATGGAGCAGTATTAGGGTGAGAGAGAAGGGAGTAAGTTGGTGGTGAGAGAGGGAGTAGGCTGATGGTGAGAGAGGGAGCAGGCTGATGGTGAGAGAGGGAGCAGGCTGATGGTGAGAGAGGGAGCAGGCTGATGGTGAGAGAGGGAGCAGGCGGATGGTGAGAGAGGGAGAAGGCCGATGGTGAGAGAGAGAATAGGCTGGTGGTGAGAGAGGGAGCAGGCTGATGGTGAGAGAGGGAGCAGGCGGATGGTGAGAGGGAGAAGGCCGATGGTGAGAGATGGAGCAGTATTAGGGTAAGAGAGAAGGGAGTAAGTTGGTGGTGAGAGAGGGAGTAGGCCGATGGTGAGAGAGAGAGTAGGCTGGAGGTGAGAAAGGGAGCAGGCTGATGGTGAGAGAGGGAGCAGGCGGATGGTGAGAGAGGGAGAAGGCCGATGGTGAGAGTTGGAGCAGTATTAGGGTGAGAGAGAAGGGAGTAAGTTGGTGGTGAGAGAGGGAGTAGGCCGATGGTGAGAGAGAGAATAGGCTGATGGTGAGAGAGGGAGCAGGCTGATGGTGAGAGAGGGAGCAGGCGGATGGTGAGAGGGAGAAGGCCGATGGTGAGAGATGGAGCAGTATTAGGGTAAGAGAGAAGGGAGTAAGTTGGTGGTGAGAGAGGGAGTAGGCCGATGGTGAGAGAGAGAGTAGGCTGGAGGTGAGAAAGGGAGCAGGCTGATGGTGAGAGAGGGAGCAGGCGGATGGTGAGAGAGGGAGAAGGCCGATGGTGAGAGTTGGAGCAGTATTAGGGTGAGAGAGAAGGGAGTAAGTTGGTGGTGAGAGGGAGTAGGCTGATGGTGAGAGAGAATAGGCTGGTGGTGAGAGAGGGAGCAGGCTGATGGTGAGAGAGGGAGCAGGCTGATGGTGAGAGAGGGAGCAGGCTGATGGTGAGAGAGGGAGAAGGCCGATGGTGAGAGATGGAGCAGTATTAGGGTGAGAGAGAAGGGAGTAAGTTGGTTGTGAGAGAGGGAGTAGGCCGATGGTGAGAGAGAGAATAGGCTGGTGGTGAGAGAGGGAGCAGGCTGATGGTGAGAGAGGGAGCAGGCTGATGGTGAGAGAGGGAGAAGGCCGATGGTGAGAGATGGAGCAGTATTAGGGTGAGAGAGAAGGGAGTAAGTTGGTTGTGAGAGAGGGAGTAGGCCGATGGTGAAAGAGAGAATAGGCTGGTGGTGAGAGAGGGAGCAGGCTGATGGTGAGAGAGGGAGCAGGCGGATGGTGAGAGAGGGAGAAGGCCGATGGTGAGAGTTGGAGCCGTATTAGGGTGAGAGAGAAGGGAGTAAGTTGGTTGTGAGAGAGGGAGTAGGCCGACGGTGAGAGAGAGAATAGGCTGGTGGTGAGAAAGGGAGCAGGCTGATGGTGAGAGAGGGAGAAGGCTGATGGTGAGAGAGGGAGCAGGCTGATGGTGAGAGAGGCCGATGGTGAGAGATGGAGCAGTATTAGGGTAAGAGAGAAGGGAGTAAGTTGGTGGTGAGAGAGGGAGTAGGCCGATGGTGAGAGAGAGAATAGGCTGGTGGTGAGAGAGGGAGCAGGCTGATGGTGAGAGAGGGAGCAGGCGGATGGTGAGAGAGGGAGAAGGCCGATGGTGAGAGACGGAGCAGTATTAGGGTAAGAGAGAAGGGAGTAAGTTGGTGGTGAGAGAGGGAGTAGGCCGATGGTGTGAGAGAGAATAGGCTGGTGGTGAGAGAGGGAGCAGGCGGATGGTGAGAGAGGGAGGAGGCGGACGGTGATAGAGACGCAGGAAGCAAGGCACACCGAGGTTAGGGACACGCCCGTGGGCGGCGACCTCTATGGTCTAGGGTGCAGTCACCCTACGCCGCCGTACTAAACCAGTGATGTTCCATGCCCCCACTCCCCCCTCCCCATCCGTATGGCAGACCGCAGGGAGGATGTTTGTGCCCCGGAGTGCACGCAAGCGGAAAGTGCAGCCTGGGTTTAGGGTGGGGGCGGAAGGCGACGAGGAGAGTGAGGGCATCATAGGGGTGCAGGGCACGGAATGTGAAGGGGTTGAGAGGGCAAGTGGATGGGTCAGGGCTGTCGCGGGGGGCAGGGCTGTCGGGGAGGGGAGGGCTGTCGGGGGGGGCAGGGCTGCCGGGGGGGGCAGGGCTGTCGCAAGGGGCAGGGCGGTCGTGGTGGGCCCCGAA